ATTAATAGTTATAAAATATCATCAGGTCTAAAGACTTACATTGCATTATTCTGAGAAGGAACGAGACTCAAAGATGTGGAAGAACTTGTTTTTATGTCTCGTTCCTGTAGGCCATGGTTTACCAAAGCCACCGTAGTCATCCTCCTTGCTGCACCGGTCAGAGTTCTGCAGAGACACAGAAGCAATAGGATGTGCATGTATGTATGTGTAGGTAGATAAATAGAGAGAGGTAGGTAGATAGAGATAGGTACAGATATTATATACAATAAATACCTCTCTATAAGAGATATATTACAGATATAAAATATATATTTAAGATATAAATGAATGCATAAAATATAAATATATATTTAATAGATACTAATGAATATATGAATAAGCACTATAAGATATAAATATTGGCAAATCTGAAGGGCAAGGCAACGCTTACTGTGATTCATCTTCATTCTGGATTCTTCCTATTGTTTGTCTACGCATGACAGGTAGAAGAATAAATAAGAGAGAATCAAGGCTCTAGGACTGTTCTTTCTATTTGCAGGGAGTGGGTTCTGCCCACACCCGGTGTGGATTTAAACTGAGCAGGCCCAGAGCACAGAGAAGGCCAGGGAGGTCCTCGGAAATCCGGGACCTGGTGCTCACAGCTGCCTCCTGCAGCGCCGCGGCCTCGGGCCTCCCCAACCCCCCTAGGAGCAGTGCAGGGGCTCAGCCGCTCTCAGGGCCAGGAGGGAAGTACAGAAGGCAGGATACATGTGGGAAGGAGTAGCCCTGCTGCAGTGGGACACCAGTTCTGAACTCCCTCCCCAAAATGGAGAGGGGCTTGGAGATTGCTTGAAATGCAATTGATTCCCGTTCTTCACAGTTGTTACTTTCTATAAAGTCATTCGACAAGCAAATGCTGAAACACCGTCCTACAAGTGGTACAGGGTTAGTTCCCGCAAGCTTCTGGTCACAATCTTTTCATCAATTAATTGATACGTGACGGTGTTTTATGTGTGTTTCTGTTTTAAAACACCTTATTTAATATATACTGTTGATTCACATTGAACTCACCACCCACGACCACATAACTCATACCTGAACGACGTTTATCTAACACACACATTCTCTCCGTAAGGCACGTCGCGGCTTCCTTGTGCCTAGAAACACTGAACAGCACTTCCGCGCTCTACTTGGGGGGCATATTAAACAGCTAAGTCACCAACAGAACTCATGAAAACCGTGAAAAGTGTGGTACTAAACGGGCCACGAAAAGGACATTTATTTACAGTAAGAGAGCTTAAGTAAGCAGGCAAAGCGTTCATTCATTCCTTCCTTTGCTTGACCTCAGCTGGGAACGTGCCTTCTGGGTGACTCAAATTTTTTGTTGCTCTACACGTGTCTGCAAATGACAGGAAAGTGCCTTAAGTATTGATGTTGGGGTTATAAATAAATTCTGAGAAAATGAATTTGGAAAGACAGAATCCTCAAATAATGAGGATCGACACTACTTGTTTGCATGGAAGAATACATCGGAGCTGGGTTTAATTTCTGGTTGAATGGATGCTATTGTCTTCAATTAATGGTTGAGAAAATTGAGACACAGGAAGTTCAAGCAGCTTGTACAAATTATTCTACTAGTGAATGCTAGAGTTGGGGTTTAATCTGTACAATCCGGCTCCAAAGTTCTAATGTTTAAGTGCCACACTATATCGGCTCTTTTGAGAAATAAGTATTAAGTTTTAGAATTTGGGGGATTTAAAGTAAAAAAGGTGTTATTTTGAAGTTTATTTATTAAGAAGAAATTAAGATTCATTTGACTATAAGGCAGATTAGGAACTTAACCTGTTCAATTAAAACATTAAAAAGAAAGAATATTTTGTATGAAGTTTCTTGAGACAAGGGAAATACAAAGTGGATACAACTTTTAATTTTTTCTCTAAAGTATTTAAGAATATTTTAGTAACAAGAATTCAATTGCGACAATTAATGAGGTGAATACAAATTGAGGTTAATAGTAAAGTGTGTATCTACTTAGGCACTTTCCGCTCTCATATTTTATGTGATATGAGAGGTAGCAAAACTGCAGCATGAGGCTTTGATGAACTATTATTTACCTTGTGCATTTTGTTCACATTATCAAGGTTTTAGAAATATGATAACCTTAGCAATCTTTTTTGCCACTCGAAATTCTAAATAGGGCTGTATAGCTACCGTTTTGACAGGATGGGAAGGGACACCTCGCATGTTGCATATTAGTCCTCCTGTCACTGAGCAAAACAGTTTCATAAACCCAGCGATGCTCCATTTTACAGATCCGCAGAAATACTAACATCTCATCAGATTTCAAAACCTACTATAAAAGGAATGAAAATGTTACCTTTCTTCAATTTTCGCAAATACCTTTACTCCTTTAATGGGTACCTCATTAAAACCCAGGAAAAAATTACCCTCCAGGGAGTCCGTTGGCTTAAACCATTTGTAGCATGGCATCCAGCCCGGAAGAATATTGGAAGTCCCATACTTCTGACCCCAGCTCTTTAATGAGAAAACTGAGGTCCAGAGAGATGAAGGATTCTTAAGAATCACAGATTTAATGGTTGAATTGGGATTGGAATGCGGATCTCTGACTGTTAATCTTCTGTTAATTGTGTGCTTCATTGTTTTCTCTTAAAGTGGCCACCTGGTCATCCTACTCTGAGTGAATAAGTATTTACTATTCCAGATAATCATTTATGAGAATAAATGGATTACGTGGTCAGGCATTTCCAGTTCCCCTGCTCATCTTACTGTTGAATGTTTATCCAATGCTTACCTTCCAAACTGGGGTATATTCCTATTTTATCATTCTAGCGAGCTAGGTTAGTCTTTTGAAAGGTTTGTTTTTTATTACTTCAATTTATTTAATTATTGGCCATCTTTTATAAGGATTACCTTGAAAAGTCTAGAAACAGCTCTGCACAAACAAGTCTATGACTCAATGTCTTTGCCATGTGCCAACTCATCTGTTTATTTTTATTTGTAAAACTGGCAAAATAGGACTTTCCTTAAAAAATTCACCGTGTACATTTTACTCTGTTCTCTTGAAATTACCATTTGACAGACATTGGCTGAAACAACTGAAAGCTGAAAATTTATTTTGTCCAGAAAAAATCAAAAGCAAATTTGCCACACTTTAGTGTGAATTATGGCTTCTCTATTTACGCCTTGTTAGCATAATAAAACAGATGTAATGAATCTGGATTAATTAAATGAAAATTGCCACGAAATGAAGCAAATGCACATTGTAAATTAAGGACATTCTAAAAAATTATTGCGTCTTCTTAAGAAATCTATTATTTTAATCTAACAAGATTATAAACTGCTTGTAAAGTAAATGTGCAAGTTTAAGAAAATATAATAACGAGTGTATGAACTAAGAATATTAATGCAGATTCACAGTTTTCAAAAACGTCACAAGGTGACTGTTTCTATTGCTTTACATTTTGCTAGAAGAGAATTGACTTTTGTTTTGATGCCTTTGTTTCTATTGTTATATCTTCATATTCTTGCCTCTGATCCTGCCACAGCTTTTAAGCTGGTGTATAATTTTTTTTTATTTCAGCATATTATGGGGGTACAGATGTTTAGGTTACGTATGTTGCCCTTACCCCCACCCCCAAGTCCGAGTTTCAAATATGTCCATCCTTCGGGTGATGCGCATTGCACTCTTTGTGTATGCAAATACCTGTCCCCTCCTCCCTCCTCCTCCCACAGCTTTTAAGCTGGTGTATAATTTTTTTTTATTTCAGCATATTATGGGGGTACAGATGTTTAGGTTACATATGTTGCCCTTACCCCCACCCCCAAGTCCGAGTTTCAAATATGTCCATTCTTCGGGTGGAGTGCATTGCACTCCTTGTGTATGCAAATACCCGTTCCCTCCCCCCTGCCC